TCGCCGTCGCGAACATGATTCACGGTACTTTACTTTTATTCGTTGTGCTTTCTGCATTTTCCATTGCGTTATACCAATGCGAATGTATATTTACGAGTTAATAAAATTTAGAACGCATAAAACTCCATCTCTGATCTTAATCCCAATCTTCCGATTAAGAATAAATGTACGAGCGCGAATGTATATTTACAATCCCTTAGGCATCACCGCCATTCTTCCCATTCCGATTCATACTCTTCGTCCTCCATCTCTGATAACAGACGCATTTCTTTTAATTATATTATTTTGTATTATTATTATTATTATCATGTATGTGCTATGCTTCAAAGGATTTATGGACCTTGCAATTTTTATAGCTTTGTGTTCTCACATCCTTTACGATCCGTGAATCTTAGTTTATCAGAAGAATACAAGTAATAATTTTCGACCATTGTAAGGGGGACTGGGGAATGGGATGAATGTTCATGTTGCAACATTTTGATCTCTCTTGGAATCCTTTTTGTTCCATTTCATTTTGGCATTTTTTTGTGCTCGATGTTTGGTAATGATGTGAATTGTAAAATGAATTATAATTACGACTGATGAAAATTTATCGGAAAATGAAATCCGTTTTGTTCACTATATCACTTCAGAAGTGAAGTCTCTTCTGATAGTGAACATGAAACATCTCATCGTTCAAATAGGCACAAAAGGAGCGACAGTAACACACTTTTTCTTAGTTTATAATCTTTTTCAATATACCGGTTTTAAAATTGAATTACCCATAATAAAATAGAAAAAGAATTGGATAAAATTAATAATATAAAGCAAATATTAAAAAATATTAGCCAAGAAAAATTACAACTAAAAATAATAAAATTAGGAAAAAAAGTATTCACTTATCCTAAATGTTATTTTTTTTATTTTATAAATAGGCACCTAAACGTTAATTTTATCCTAATAAATCTTAAAAATTTATCTTAAAAAATTAATTTTTTCTCGATTAAAATTAATTTTATTATAATTATATTTATCATTTTACAAATAGTTTTTTAATTAATTTAGAGTTTAAGTAATTATCTTAAATGTCAATCATTTATTAATATTTTTATTTTTAATTACAACTATTTTATATAATAAAATATGAATTATATTGACTAATAAAAATCTAATGAAATTAGGAGATAAAATATTATGCATTAGTTAACATCCCTAAATTATTTGAAGATATAGAAAAAATATACTATTCACAAAAACAATTAAAGGAGAAAAGAATTAACAAATATTATCAACTTAAAATATGAAAAATATTAATAAGAAATATTCCACATTTACTCTTCATTAAAAAGATAGCGAAGGTTAGATTTTTCATAAACTGCTACAGCCAAATTGTGAGACGTTGCACACTTTTTACCCTTTAAAATTTTCATTTCCTTCACATTACCGGGTCATGTCTGATTTTAAGGTTTTACGGCCATGGGTTATGCTTTCCATGAACGGGTTACCCGCTGAGGTCTTAGCTTTTTCTTTCTTCTAACGTTATTTTCTTGCATGTTTATCTTTCACTCTTTCACATTTTTATTTCTTTGATTTATTTCGTCAAATCCGTGTTCTCGTTTCATTGTCTTTTTAAATTTTTCGGTTCTTTGACTCTCTTTTTGATTGTTTCTTTTGGCTTTGAAATGATTGCATGTTTATCTCTCACTTGTTCTTTACCTTAACTCTGTTTCATGAATTTGGTTCTCTGCTTAATTTTACCAATTCCATGTTTTCATATCATGATCTTTGTTAATTTTCAGTTCTCTGGCTTTCTTTCTTATTGTCATTTTTAGCTTTGATATAATTTATTAATAATTTCTCAAGTTATGTAATGTTTCTTTTATAGTACATATATGTATTTTACCCTTCTTATGTATGTATAAACACTTTTTTCTCAAGATGTGTTTAGAGTTGTATATGTGTTTGTATGTTTGTTTGTTGAAGGGTTTGTGATTTTCTGAATTCCGGTGCATATTACCGAATTATTGGCTGATTTTGCTATACCTACAGCTCAACCATCAATATTTCTATTCATTGCTCTGTGAATTTTTTTCTGCCCTCTATATTATTGAGGACTAGCAAAGATTTTAATTTAGTTTTTATAATTCAAAATTTTAATTTCATTTTTAAAACCGGAATATTGAGAAAGTTTATTTAAATCAAAATGAATATAGGAAGATGTCTATGTGGAGGAAATTTGAAGTGAATGTTGTTCCTTTTTTGGATAATTTCCACATTTAATATTTTGGTTGATTCCATGTTCTTGTTTCAAGATATATATTTTTTTATTTATGTTTTTCGGTTCTTTATCTTTCTTTTTGATTGTCTATATGTGTGACATTATTTTCCAAATTGGGTTGATTCCGTGTTCTTGTTTCATGAATCTCCAATCTCTACAAGTATGACATTATTTTCCAAATTTTTCCCTAATACAGTTGTTTCCATGGTTTGTTTTCCTCAGACTCAATCCATTTGTCTCGTAAGATATGAACATAGTTTTTGCATTTATTATTCGATGTGTGCCTTTAATTGTCTTAACTCAAAATGGCAGGACCTCTTGAGTTTTGAGGCAAGGTTTTTCAATTTCTTTTCAATTCTACATCTTTAGCCTTTAGAGCATCTTTATTAACTTCTCTTGTTGAAGAATAAGTTCCAAGTTTTTATTAGTTTCATTATTTTAAAAAAATTATTTTATTGTTGGAGCCTGAGTGTTCTGTCATACATTCTTTTGTCTAAGAAAGTTTTGTCACACAGATGATTAGGTGCTTTATAAAATTTACAATATTATTTTTTCTATAGTTAAAGTATTAGTTTCTATAGTTAAAGTATTAGCTAAATAGTTCTTCTGCAGACAACTTGAGAGGGTGACGCAAAAATGAAAGCCTTGTTTGCAATTTTTTGGAAGAGTGAAAAAATTATGTTTATGCCTTTTAAGGAACATAGTTGTGAGAGAGAAATAGGGAGCCCACAAGAATGAAAGATCAATCACAATGAAACGAGGGCCAATATATCTAGGCCTGGTCCAAAACTAAGCCTGAAGGTTCGATGTAGAACATTATTTCATAGGGGATAGTCACCCAAGTAATCAAGTAATCTAACCATCATTATTTAGGCCCTATAAGGAATTTTTTTAAGTAGTTAACTAGTTAGGTAGTTATAAATTGAGGCAGAGAAAAATGTAAAGGAAATCAGTTAGCTGGTTGCAAGAAAGGGTCACAAGAAAAACAATTAATATGTGTCTCTATAAAAATAAATGACGGTAAAAGTAAACTCAGTTTCTGTTTTGAAGTTGTTTGCTATGCCATATAGTGTGTCATAACTCTGTTTTCAATTTTCACTCATTTTCTATTTTGAAGTTGTTTGCTATGCTATATAGTGTCTTAACTCTATTTAGAAATGTTTTCCTGAAGTCTGTTTTCAATTTTCCTTGCTCTTTCCATTCTATAGATTTTCTGCTGGAGAGCTTGATGTTTTATCTTGAGTTGAGAAAAATTTCTATTGTATAAAATTAGGTTTGTATTGTACAAAATTCTTAAAACTACCAGGCTTGGCTGGTTGTTCAAATACCTTGTGTTGATATGCGTCTTCAAGAGTTAGGACTTGATAAAAAGAGTTTGTTCTTTGGTAAATGGTAAAACAGATTGAGTGCTTGAATGCAGCTTATCTCTTGGTAAAATGTAATAGCAAGTATTTGCAAAATTGATTTTATTCAAAATTAAATTTAAAGGAATGTGATTTATTTTTTGACCTTTTATTTAAAAGGAAGTTAGTAGGAAAATTTAGTATAATATTTTTATAGAAAACAAAAGCTACCTAAAGTTCCTTCAACTGAAAATCAATTTATCAACCCAAAATCAAATATATGATTTTTGTTTAAAATCTTGTTTTGTATCTCACTCAAGCTAGTATTGGACTACTTGAAAATGTTCACTCCTACAAATAGGATATACTAGTATAAGACCAAAATGGAAGGAAGAGGTAACATAAAGTGATGGAACTAGAAGAGGAAAGATAAAGATTCTGCATATTTGTTGCATCTATGTGCATTTGTTTTTTGTTCTACAGTTGTTTTTTTAGGCGGTTTACCTCTATTGTAAGGAGCAAACTCCAAATTTTGTTTTGATGTTAGATTAGACAAACATCTTGATCATCTCTAATGATTTGAAATCCAATGAAAAGCACACATTCCAATGTAAATATGTAATTCAAGTTAAATTAGACAAACTTCTTGATCATCTCTAATAATTTGAAATCAATTTAACCAAATTTTAAACTGAACAGGCACTAAAACAAACATTAGTTTGTTCTAGCCAACAAAATATGGCCATTTACCTCTCTAGACTGGAATGGAAATTTCTGACTCTATGAAGTTGAAGCATGGAATCAAAAATTTCATTCCTTCCACGCATAGCAACACTTGTTATTATGGAATAGAGGTAAGAACAGAATGGCCATGTTACATACTAAAAATGCTCAATTTTATTTTTAGGGCTGTCTTCATTGAACCTTTAAGTGAAGCAGTTTAACACTTTGTGTAGAGGAAATAATGTTTAACATCTCTGGATCCATGGACATTGAATGTTATGATATAATTGACATTGTTTTCCAATGGTGCTTGACAGGCCACTTATGGATGAAAGATATTCGTTAGAAGTCAACAAGGTGGCATTATGCTATATATTGGTATAGTACTATTGGACCACTTGATAATGTTCACTCCTACAAATAGGATATACTAGTATAAGACCAAAATGGAAGGAAGAGGTAAGATAAAGTGATGGAACTAGGGGAGGAAAGATAAAGGTTCTGCATATTTGTTGCATCTATGTGCATTTGTTTTGTTCTACAGTTGTTTTTTTAGGCGGTTTACCTCTATTGTAAGGAGCAAACTCCAAATTTTCTCTTCACATATTATAAATTTATACTTCATATTTATTATTTTACTTAAATACTCATGCATATTTTCCTATTGGTTGTGGCAGCTGTTGGCTTGAAGTGAAAAAGGCTTGAGATCCCACCTGATGTCTCACAAGATTACACTATTTTAGTTGTCCTAGGTACGTGCCAAATTCCATAATGATTTTCTTGCCATTTCTAAATTTAACTTGAACGTAGTATCTATCCATTAAGGGGAATTGGAGCATACACAATTTTTTGTTAAAATTATTTATAAATCATACAGAATTGCATTGTTCATTTGTTTTGTTTTAATTTTCTCTGTTTTTTTTTTCCTGTTTTTTAGAATGCTGAAGATGTATTGCCTCTATGCTAATCTTGTAATGTTTCTACCAGGCTAATCTTGAGCATTTTTTATGCTTAAAACCTAGCAATTCTATCAATAAATTCATTTTATTAATAGTTTTTATTTATTAATTTTCATCAATTAGAGCTTAATTAATTTTTTTAAAATGTCAATCATTTATTAATATTTTTATTTATTTTATTACAAATATTTATATATCTTAAAAATATGAATTAAAACTGATATAATAAAAATTTAATGAAATTAGCAGATAAAATATTATCTATTACTTAATATCCCTAAATTATTTGAAGATATAGAAAAATATATTATCCAATAAAAAAAAATAATAATAATTAAAAAAATTAACAAATACTATCCACTTAAAATGTAAAAATATTATTAAAACTAATAAATTTAAGATGAAATCGATAATTAATTTTCATTATTTTTATTATATATATATATATTGATTTTTTTTCTTTTATTTTGATAATTTTTTTATACAATTTTTTTTTTAATTTATATTTAGTAACAATTTATTTTATACTATTGTAAAACTATAATAATTATTACTAATTATTATAATATTTTAATCCAATTTTTTCCTTAAATGAATGTGATTTATTTTTTGACCTTTTTTTTAAAAGGAAGTTAGTAGGAAAATTTAGTATAATATTTTTATCGAAAACAAAAGCTACCTAAAGTTCCTTCAACTCAAAATCAATTTATCAACCCAAAATCAAATATATGAATTTTGTTTAAAATCTTGTTTTGTATCCCACTCAAGCTAAGAATATGGCTAGAACGTTCCTTTTAAGACTTGGACAATCCTCTTCCCTCAAGCAAGTATTGGACCACTTGAAAATGTTCACTCCTTCAAATAGGATATACTAGACGTGTAGTTCTAGATGTAAGATGTGTTTGTTAAAAGCCCTACATTGGCTAGGAATATGGCTAGACTACTCCTTATCGCAATTTGTCAATCATCTTCCCTTGAGTTGGCCTTTTGGGAGTGAGTTAAGCCAAATCTGTTTCTAATGCCATTCATTACAAGATTTCCTTAATTTTTTTTATCAATATTATTTCTTAGATATTAATAGCCATTTGCTAGCTTTTTCTTCTTGTCTTTTATGTGTGTTTAATTTTACACTCCTTGCTCTTTTTAGGATGAGAATTGAACTTGGAACTTTTACTTCCTTGATGCATTGTTTGCTTTTTACAGGATAGGAATTTGGTTCCCCAAAAATTTGAACCAAACAATAATTGACAGAGTTGTGAAGGGAGATGAGATGGAATGCATGAAAGGTGAGGCTAATCTAGCCCTGAGTTAATTTAAATGTTGCAGCCTATTTATGCTTAAAACTTCTATTATAATTATATTGTTTCAGCATTTGTGAAACTTGTGATGTGAAAAGAATGATCATAAAAATATATAGTATGAAGTTGAAATAGCCTGTGGCTGCGAATAGAAATCCAAAAATGATTGCAAGAAATGTATATTTGTTGAAGCATGTATTTGACAAGCTAAGTCAATGATGATGCATATATGGTTGACGATATATCGTTTAAGGTTGTGGCTGAAATAATTTTTGACTTTTTGAGTGTTATCCTGTTTCACATTGGTCAATCATTGTTATATACATATACACACACACATATATATATATATATATATATATT